CCCCCCCAAAAAAAATAAATAAAATAAAGCAGAAGAAAAGCAGGCGTACTGGGAGTGGCTCACACCCAGCAGCTCAGCAAAGCCAACATCAGCGTGAGAACACGGCTGTTTCTGTCCAGCGTGGGGGAATGAGATACACTGAACGCATTACAGCACCTGCAAGGATGCACCAGAGGTCAAATATGCTGCACCCACCTCCGTACAAATATGGATGTGTATCATTCCTGCAAGGACGTGGTTCTGCGCAGCCTACGCAGGAGGAGTGATGGTCCGGCTAGTGGGCAGGAAGCGGAGGAGGAGGATTGGAGGCTACCGGTGCTGCAACCACAGCAGTAACAAAGGGGGCAGAGTCTCATTGGGGCCTGACTGTGGGAATGTTCCGGAACTCTGCTCCTCTTTGGAAACAGGAGCATATGGCAGTGAGAGTAGGGGGAGGGGATGAGAGACACGGGGGAGATGAGGAAGGGGGATAAGGACGCAGATTCGAAAACATGAAGAACAGCGCCCCCCATTGGACAACAATAGGGTTTCGTGCTGATTGAGAAAAGAGAAAGAAACTGCTTTGCAGGTGTACAGGATCATGCCAGGGGAGGAAAGTGAGGCCACGAAAGCTCTCTGAGACCTTCCTTTAAACTTTACATGACAATCAGCATGAGGCATAAGAAATTCTGCATATTGTCAGATTCAGCATTACATCTTACTATTCTACTACTTGCCTGAGGATAATTATTCCTATATAAGATTATTACTTATATCATTTTAAATATCAAAATTGCTTGATAGACTTATAGCTTGATTTCAAAGTGAGTACAGTGGCAGGATATTAGCACTGATTTCCAGTGATGCCCCTCCAGTGTCCATCGCCATGGTGACAAGCACACAATGAAGTTGAGAGGTTGGCAGGGTACGAGAGGATGGAGTGACTGAGAAAAGGGGAAAATGCAAGTGACAAGATGCATTAGCTGAAGCTTCAACCTGCACCTTTATCGGTCAATATGTATGTATGTCTATGTATGTAAGTATGTGTATGTAATGTGACCAAAATAAATTTAAACTTAATTCAGTTCATTATATCTAGGGGTGCTTTAATGCACGGGCTTACCTGGGCTGAACAGCAGGGGCCTTGGCTAAAAAGGGGTCTCTTCTTTAATACAACTTTAAACCTACAGTTGCCACCCATCCCATATCAAAGAACAGAATGCTGTGTCCCATTTTGAACCAACACCAGATTATTGCTGTTGTATCATTGTTAAAATGGAGAGTACTGGAAAGGAATGAGATGGAGTGACTGTGTGTAATCGGGTGGCAGCCCCATACTGACAAACATAGATAGAGACTCAACCTTAGATGTGATTTGAAGGCTATAAGTAAAAGGTCCCAAGAAGGATTGAACTCTTGTACAGTTGAGTGAAGCACTTAACTATCACTGGTTCAATAAAACACGAGGTGTGTATAATTCACTCTGGATAAAAGCATCAAGCACAGCAATACATTCAAACAAAAAAATAGCAATATTAGCTGAACTAGATTTGTGGCTTACTGCAAAGGTAAGGGGCCTGGTTTTCAACAGCAGCACTTCTGTCTGCCCTTGTCGGATCAGCCTTTCTTGGGAAAGCCCATTTCCTGTGCCCATGGGGGAAGAGCGTTCTCACATTACCTCACGCTGCAGACATGCTACAGACGCCTGGACCTCAGCCTCTGGAATGTGACTCCTCCTATGTCAGAACAAAGACAGAGAATTAAAGTATAAATGTCCATCAGGGTGGGTGAACATGCATATTAACACTCAAAGCTGGACAGTTACAAGCTACTCTTAAATGGCATCTGATTTGAACTTGTCCACATCATTGTGCAATATCTTCGGAGTAACTGATAGTCAATCAATGTGATGGGGAGGTTTTGGTCCTGAGCATCTGAGAGCTTTTGCTGTGACACCATACATCCATTATCTAATGACTTACATTGAGTAGGGTTGGGGGGGGGGCTGGAATTGATCTCACAGGACACCAGGCTGGGGTACACTCTGGGTAAGAGGCCAGTCCATTAAAAGGTGTGATCATACACAATTATTCACTATCGACAATCTATAGCTATCTACTCTACACCTGCATCATGGAGAGGATCCTCAGTAGGAGCATCAGTACCTGGTTTGGGAGATGTAGGAAGCGGGACAGCACTACCCTGTGCAGAGTACAGCATTAGGCTGAATGCACTACCCTGTGCTGAGTGCGGCATTAGGCTGAATGCACTACCCTGTGCGGAGCGCGGCATTAGGCTGAATGCACTACCCTGTGCGGAGCGCGGCATTAGGCTGAATGCACTACCCTGTGCGGAGCGCGGCATTAGGCTGAATGCACTACCCTGCTGACCACCCACAGTAAGTGGTGCAAGGACAAAGTGATGAAAGTAATAAACAAGCCCTGCACCCCATCGATGGCCCCCTCTTGCTGCCATGGTCAGGGAGACACTTCCACAGTCTGAAGACCAAAAAAGAGAGACAAAGAAGCTTCAATCCTGAACAAGTCCATAACTAACAAGTAAATTTACGCACTTTTATCATAACATACTGCAGTTGCACATCTTTTTACTATGTTGATATACTGGCCAGAGGCGTTAGGTCAAGGTCCAGAAAGTAAAAATCCAGACCAAGATTTTGTTTCAACCAACCAGTTAAGTATTAAGAGTCACAGTCAGTAACTGGTTGGGTGAAACAAAATCTTGGTCTGGATTTTTACTTTCTGGACCTGAACTATCCACCTCTGTAATACAGTTCTCTATTTTTATTGTCTATTTTGCAGTCATGTCATTTTATCTTAATTGTTATTCTAATTTTGCTGAGGTTTTATTCTTATTTATTCCTTTTATACAATTTTCTTTTCACTACTATTGCACACTTCCTTGAGCACAACCCAGGAAGTAGGTGCAGGAACATTTCCTTACACAGTAGTTTAGTGTATGATAGTTGACATAACAAATAAAACTTGGCAGACTTTGTCGATCAGCAACTTTGGTTCCAGGACTACTAACACGATGCCATCATATCCTATTCTATTAGTTTATCACAAAACTGGTGTTTCTACAACAAGATCTATGAAATCCAATGTAGTTTTAAAAAATTCTGCAGCAAAGGCATTTACAGTTTTGATTTTTATTTTACTAATTTCAATTTTTTTAAATTCAGCAATAGATGGCATAGATGGCACACAGCCTCCGCCCACTTTTTTAAATTCCTCTGTAAAGTAAAGCGATCAGCTTTTCTGTCTTTTTCTTACAGGATTTTGCAGTTGTTGGTTTAGCCCCTCTGAGCTGCTGCCCCCTAGTGGAATACTCAGTATGACATAATCTTTGTTTCATTAGCGGGGATGGAATTGTCCATATAGATTTATTCAGTGTGACCAATTCGTTTTCTCAATCGAAACAGCTATTGTATAAAATTCAAGGTCAACATCTGTGGTAAGGTGATGTTTATAAGTACTGAAATCTCAAAGAAAATTATGAAATTATCACACTATGTGTCGTATTAGCTGATAACAATTATCTACTTCACTGTAATGCATAAAAGTAGTATTCCTGGTACTCATTGCATCACCTCTCAGTATATACTGGGCTAATTCTGGGACAGAACACAACCCATTCCTTATCTGTGTTAAATATACACTTAGGGCAGTTCAGAGATACAGTACATACAGTATTCATTTTTCCAGCACATATACATAACATGTGAATTCTGCATATTGCGCATATTTGGAAAATGTATTTTTAAAAATCCATTTGTCAAAAATGGATAGATATAACTGAATACCTTGCAATGTATATAAAGTTTTTATTACATTTATTGCACACTGCTTTTAAATCAGTATTTGAGCGCCCCCGTTACTACTTAAAACTGTGATAATTTAAATGTACTTTCACGATTGTGAAGTACCAATTCCGTTAAAATCCCACCACCATAAGATGCCTTGCATATGAAGTAATAATGTATAACGTACTGTTATAAAACGTATTTTGTATGCTTTTTGTACAGACTTTGTACACTATTAATTTACTACCTACTGTTTGGTTGTACATCGAACGTATTTCCATGTAACACACCGGAAGGGAGGTTGAATTCGTACTTATAAGCGCGTGAAATTAGTTTTCTCTATAGTTTATAACTTTAATAGAATTTTTCGGAAAATGGACGAAGAGTTGATTGTAAGTTTGATTAATCGTGGCTGTTTTACCTTGAGCTTCAGTAGTACGATAACTGTATCCGGCCAAAGGTGGAGAAGTACCAAGTCGTCAGTGCTGCATAATGTTATATGATGACTCTGGGTTCTAATCGGTTTTGTCACTTTTAGGGCTTCTTCAGAGAGCCGTGCTCTCAGTGTTCCGTGGTGAACTGGGGTGTCACGGAGGAGGGAGGATATTACTGCAAATCGTGCCACAATGTGATCGAGGTGAGTCCTCCGCGAAATTACGTGTGCGCCAGCTGTGGCTCGGTTTTACACAACCTGAACCATGTTCTGCTGTAAAGGTCCCGCTTAGCCGGGCGGAGGGGACTGCTGCCTACTCATGTACTCATTTTCTGTTTTGACAGAGAACCGTCGAAGTTACAGATCCGTCTTGTGTGACTGGAAGCAGGGTGTCCGCTATCTCACATGGGGCCAAAAAGCCGGCAAAACAGAGTGAGTTATGTGTCCACGGCTTCTACATATGTCCTATTTAAAGTATAAAAACTACATTTTTGTGGAGTCAAAACATAAGCCAGCTTTGAATACTTTTATGCTTATTAAATACAGTCATTATTTCTTGACTGAGACTCCAGAGGCAATATCTGTGATCATGGTGTTGGCAGTACTGCGCTCTCCCACTGGGTGGCGCATTGTAGCTCCAGTGACACATGCGTTTTATTGCTACATTTTCAAGCACTTCATTCTTTAATTTTTAAATAAATACGTAGGACTTTGAAAATAAAGCCAAAGGCGAGGTTGATGTCATTATTATGCGTTGAGTTAGTGACTTAACACTGATGCTGTGTGTGTTGTTGCAGAGCATGGAAAGGACTGGATGGTGTGTGAAGGGTTTCAGTTCATACTTAAGCAGCAGGCTGAGGCCCTTCTGGCGATGGGAGTCCGTCCTGAACTCAAGGTGCGTTTCTGATGCTGTTGGTTGGGGTTTCTGATTAATTTTCTTTTGTATTTTTGTCACAGTATAGCATCCTTTCAGTGCACCAAGGAACTAAAATTCTGCCACATCCCTGTAATGTCTTTCCCTTTGTTGCAGTTGTTAAATCTTAAAATTGCAGAAATGGAGTCAGTTAAATGGGGGCAGCTTGGTGGTGCAGTGGTTAGCACTGTTAAATCACATCTTCTGGGACCTGGGTTTGAGTTTCCGCCTGGGTTACATGTGTGGAGTTTGCATGTTCTCCCCGTGTCGTCGTGGGGTTTCCTCCAGGTACTCCGGTTTCCCCCCACAGTCCAAAGACATGCTGAGGCTAATTGAAGTTACTAAATTGCCCATAGGTGAGAATGGTAAGTGAGTGAATGGTGTGTGAGTGTGCCCTGCGAGTGTGCCCTGCGAGTGTGCCCT